GTTAGGTAAACCTTAAATGCATGTGGTTGAAAGGTAGTTGTTATAGAGGTAGTAGTTGAGAGGTAGTAGTTATATTGAATGTATGTAGTTGAGAGATAGTGGTTGTATTGAATATATGTAGTTGAAAGGTAGTAGTTGCATTAAATACATGTAGTTGAGAGGCTATATCCAAAGACCTATAAATTGAACATGTATCACTCATTGCAAAAACATAAGTGATAATATACAGAGTGTTTTATTTAGATACTTGTTTGTCAACAGGGGGAGGGAATATGGATTAAGGTAGAGAATGAGGAAATAAAAGGGACAATGAATCATATTCACTAACATTTACTAGAAGGATAAAAAACATAATGTACTTACCCTCAATTATATTCATATACTAGACTCCTATATCCAATTAAATTAGATTTAAAATCATGAAATACGCAAACCACTCCTAAGCGATCATCTATTAGACGTTAAATACTCTTGAACAGTATTATAAGAAATTTTCTAACAATTTACTAAAAAAAGCAATAAATTTGGATGAAAGGAAAGAATCAACTGAGTTTCATGGACGGACTGCAACATAAAAAGCCTAGTTATCAATCCAAACCTAAGTTGTGGTACATTGAGGCCTGGCTGAAAACTGCTATAGTGGTTGGCGAGATGGCCATTACATTGAACATTATAGATACGAGCTAAGTAATTTATAATTTATAATTTATAATTATACTATACACATATAAATGGTTAAAAAGATATTCAAAATTAAAAATCTTTTCTTAAGATTGATAACTAATAATCAAAAAGTCATAAAATACTTTCACCATTAACCTCAGCTATAATTAACAATGAGATAAATGAGAACCTTGGAAACTTAAAAGAAAAATAGGCAGATGATAGGAGGAAAGACCAAGATGGGTGTGACAAAAATAGAGTGGAATATAAGGAACTATGAATTATGTAAACCACTACAATGTCTTGGATTGTATATGTTGTAGATAAGTAACAGCAAAGGTCCTGCTACTTTATTTTTTCAACAGCTAAATATGGTGGAGTTCAGCTTAGCCAGAAGCCAGAAAAGGGGTTAGCGGAGTAAAATTGGGTTTTGGCCATAAAATGGCAGGTTAAGTTATGAATAAGGAATACTTGGATATCCTTTGAGATTTAGCTGCTATTTGATACGAATTTGGCTGATATTCACGAAATGCATAAGCAGTGCACTATTAGACACTGGGACACACATTGGCATGACTAATAATGTCCAACATATAAGACAGACACAGACATACATAATAGATAGCAAGTTGTTTCGAAAAGATGAATATATGTTTCTTTGAAAAAAATAATTCTTCATCTGGGATTTTTTGTATAGAGACGATGCTAACTTTATAAAATAATAACTATCAATTCTTTTCTTATGAGGTTTGTTAGGAAGGTGAAATGTATTTGAGTCCATGAAATTATTGAGTCTGTGAGGAAATGTCAAAGCGTAAAGTCAAGAAGTTAAGATACATATAAGCCTTGATTTCACAGCTTGAATACAAAATAAGGACCGGAGTCCTTCATTGTCGTGGGATGCCAGAGATAAATTAAAACACCATAAGAGTGTGATGTTGATAAAACAACTTAGACCTCTGTTTGCTATACGTCAAACATGTTCAAGCATCCTCTCATAATATTAGTCAAAATTCTCATTATATCATGATGTCAAAGACCATATTGTGACGTGATGTTTTATTATTATATATTATAATAATATTATTGTGCAAGAAAACTTCGTAATGAAGTTTTTCTCATGTACAATAAAATTTTTCTTTTATATATGTACGTACGTAAAGGGGGAAGGAAGCAAGAAATTTCAGCAAGTAGTTCTCCCTCTCATCCTTCTTCTTTTGTTTAAATTTCAAGCAACGAGACTCTACTCGTGCAGTAATCTGAGTGAAACGGAAGAGAACTTTGATTAAGTAGGAAAGTTTCGGTAGAAATACCACACCAAGTAAGGGAAAGTTTAATTCATTCAATATATGAAACTGAATTGCTGGGTACTCGTGAATAAGGAATAGGAGTAGAAATATAAATTATTTGAATGTCTCGATTTTGAAGAATTTTTGATTTTGATAACTTGTTCCTGGTTTTCCTGGTTTGAAAGTTTTGAAATTCTTGAAATTAAGGATGGATTATATGAAAAAAATTGTTGTTTTTGACTTAAATTGAACATATTTCATGTTTAATTTCGATTTGGAACTAGTTTGGTTGCTTCGAAACTTGGAAATTAGAAATCTCGAAGAATTTGGCATGGCTACAGTGGTGGAGGAAGAAGAAAGGGATATGTCTGGGGATTTAAAAAAAAATCAAGGATAAAATACTCATTTAACATCCTAGGAACATAAATGGAATTTTCAAAAATGTCCAAGGTAAAATAGTCATTTTCGGAAATGGAAGGAATTTTCGAAAATGTCCAAGGGTAAAATAGTCATTTTCGGGACATGGAAGGAATTTTCGAAAATGTCCAAGGGTAAAATATTCATTTTCGGGACATGGAAGGAATTTTCGAAAATGTTCAAGGGTAAAATAGTCATTTTCGGGATATGGAAGGAATTTTCAAAATGTCCAAGGGTAAAATAGTCATTTAGGGACATACATGGAATTTTAAGAAAAGATTAAGGGCAAAATAGTAATTTAATAACTTCGGAATGAAAAAGGAATAATAGAAAATATTTAAAGGTATAATTGGAATTTTAGAAATAAAGTAAAGGTATGTTAAGAAAAATAATTAAAATATAGAATGAAATTAGAAGGATTCAAGCAGTGTGTTGTGACGTGTGTGGGTCAAACCGAGTCTAAGAGTTGATGCCCGAATCAATCATGAGATGATATGTATTGGCTAGACCGAGCGGAGGGTTGGTGCCCGAGATCGGTCAAATACTATTATTTACCCGAATGAGTCGTGAGAACAAGGTGGTCCAGTAATCCGCAGAGATGTGAATGATTTTTGTTGTGTATGAATGGTACCCGGGTGATACAGAGTACATTAGTGTAATAACTATGTCTGAGGATTCTAAATGAGGTCCCGGACTTCACCGATTGGTCTGGTCGGGTAGACTACAAGATCAAGTGGTGAGAAGTCGATGGGAGGATAACTGGTGGCGCGCTCGGAGGGGTACTCCAAGTATGAGTGATGAAGGACGCCAAGTAATCCTACTCGTGTGGAGGATGGTCGGAATAGTACTACGGGTGCCGATCACAATGTGCCCACAGATGATAGCCTCTGAGTTCGGACATAATTAGAGTAGACTTTCGGAAGACGTCTTAGTGTATTGATGATTTGTAATTGATGATAATATGTAATTATTACTTCTATATATGTTTTATTATATCGAATGATTTAATACTTACTCTTATTCTTCCATGTGGATGAGACTGCGATGGTCACTTTTATGTGAGAGTAGATCAAAAGTTGAGAAGTGGAGATACGACTCACTGAACAGTAGGGATAGTTCAGTGGGATAGCTTTGTGGGAGCTACTTTTGCATGTATCTATATAAATAAATTATGTTACTATTGTTTTGAAGTTTCGCCAATGAACCAGGATTTTAGTTTATATTACAATTACAGTAATATAATGTAATATAGATGTTATTTACTTGTTTACTATTTTATGAAGATATCATTATAGTAGCGATTTGTAGGGTTGTTACTGATATGAACTCTTACATGAATTAGAACATTTTGTTATTGGTTAAGACACATTCTGCCACTCTGGATTCCGGAAACAGCTTCCAGCAGAAAAGATTATAAAAAAATCTAGAAGACAGTTTAATAGTACGTTTCATGTTAGATCTCCAGCATAGCTGTTTTAGAAATTTAGCTAAGAATGTATTAAGTAGCAAACTGACTGGATATATTATCATCTGACTAAACATTATGAAAATTAGGATCTTGAATACAAACCTCAGCCACAATAACCATTCTTTAAGATCCTTTCTCACAAATTCCTGCGAGTGATCAATGTTTGGAGCAGCATGAAAATTGTCTCCACTACTCTTGTTGCCCCTCCCCTGCATGGCAGAAAGATTGTATATCATGCATATCACACCCAGAAAGATAACCGCATTGTTGTACTATACACTAACAATAAAAAAAACTTCCAAATACTTCATTGTTGTCTAAATTTGTTTATCATGAAATACATGGCACATTCAAAGGGTTTTCAACTAAAAAATGCGGCATGCATGAAGATTAGCTTTTATAATGCATGGGTATGATGCGAGTATCAAATACAATTCGTATACAATACGAGGATATGTTAATTCTAAAAAAAATAAAAGTAGGATACAATTCATATAACATATGAATTTAAAAATGTAAAAAAAAAATCATGAAACATAATATCCATATAACTATAATCATCCAAATCTAAATTTTAAATCACATTTCTTAAATATTGTGGAAATAAAAAATATAAATAATTATCATTATTAAATATTTTCTGTTATTTTCATATAGGAATAAGACTATCATTCTCGTAAATTTCTTAAAATATTTTATAATAACAATTTTTTCTTTCATTTATGAAAATTAATATTTATATGTTTCTATTTTATAGATACATATATGTTTCTTAAACTTTATTGAATATAAATGATTTAAAAGTTTTAACATTTAACTGACATACTCATAGGTAAACTTAAGAGTACTATTTGTAAAACAAATAAAAATATTGATGCTTCATAGGTTTGGATACTTCATTTATACGTATCAATGAAGTATGGGTGAAGTATCTGACACGATATGTATCAAATACGGATACATGAAGCAAATTAAAGTATCGGTGCTTTATACTTCACATGATGCACATGAGTCTTTGCTTCATATGATTTAGTAATTAAACTAATTTATTAATTCTTCAAAAACAACTAATTCTATTAATTCTACGTAAAAAAAAAAACTAGAACCATCAAAGATGATTACCGGGGTTGTTGATAGAACCATCAAAACCCATCACAATCTAGAAATGACTTACGAGTCTCATATTTGTAAGAATACAACTATGAAATAAACTATTCGCAAATGTCTCCTCCTCTCGCAAAATTAATCAACGTAAGGTTGAAGCAATTCCATACACGTATATAGATAAACCATTCATTTTAGCAAGATTGTCCACTTCACAAATGATTGATGATTATTCTAATCTAGTCTTATGAATATAAAGTTATTTTTTCATCAATTAGTGAAATTGTTTGAATCCTTTAAATATAATAGAATTTTATAGCTATGATATTACGATCAATTAGATTGATTTTATATTTGTGTTATTAGCCTAAACTAGGGAAATTGAATATTTTGTAATTATGCTATGCTTAATTATGCCCTCTCCAATTATGCCCTCTCTTCCCTATAAGTTTCTCTCTTCTCAACAGAAATTAAATTGCAAACAATCACAAATGAATATAAGATAATCACCGTAATTTGGAAACAACAATACAATGATATACTTATATAATTAGAGGGGGAAAAAGAACTATTTCACTTCAATCAATAATTTTCAAATGTACAGAACTTCTTGGGAAATGGTAAGCAGAGAACACAATATATCTTCTATCCTGAAAGCATGTCATGAGCTTTGATATCAATTATTATTGTTCTCAATCTTGCTATAGAAATTTACAACCCACAAAAGAAATTAGTTGAGTTGCTAAGAATATAGAGAAGAGTCAAAAACATAGAAGACCTATCCAATTCTTTTAGGATGATTAACAGTACTGAGTAATGAGTAAAGAAAGTAAATATCCAAAATCACTAACCTGAAAATGGGGATCATCAGCTACAATTGCACGCTCATCCCAGTTGAGACGACCCCCAAATAGGTTCCAAATACCATTCTGATTCTTAAAGTGAGCACAGCGGTGATTTAAAACAACATCTCCGAGCACTTTGATTCCAACTTCATGAAAACTTTTCACCACATCCTTCAGTTGATCAATAGTTCCATATCTGAAACATTAAATAGAACAGTTCATATCGAAGTTTCTTTTCACAGAGATGTACAATTATTTTACATCATGAGACATCTTTTTTTTTATGCAATGTATAAATCAGAATATAAAAGAATGTTCCCTTCTACTTGAGTCAATCAGTAACAGTATGCCTAACAGTGGGCTCTCTGTATAAATATTTATAGATAACAGGCATCTAAACCTATAAAACAGTTTGTGTTTTAAAGGGATTTTAATCAAGTACCTAGAATTTAAATTATATAAATCCTTTGGCATATATCCTTCAGGAGAAACAGACTCTGTCGGTGGTGGTAACCATATCACAGTAAAGCCAAATGATGCCAGTTCTTCAGCTTTCTCTTTAAGCTCCATATACCATCTTCCAGATTTATGGGATTCCCAATTAAACCCTTGGCATAGTATTTCATAGCCTGTGCCCGTTCCAGAGGATATTTTTGGAGGCAGTTCAGGCAATATTACTGTCTTGGATTCAATAGCAGCTTCAGATTCCACAATAGTTTCCTCTGAGAAAGTTGGAACTGAACTTCTGAAGATGCTGTAGGCCTCAGCAGCTAGCTTTTCAATTTCTTGAAGAATGCTTTCTTGGGCTTCTTTGGATTTTGTCTTTCGATTCTTCTCAGAGGAAATATCTGTAACCAAATGCCTTATTTCATTGATTATTTCATCAGTAAATGCAGATATAGATTCCTCTTGACCTGCCTCTTTAGTGGCTTCAGTCACTTCCCACTGCACACCTTCCGATTGGTCATCCCTGTTGCCAACAATTGAGCTACTAGATCTTGGGAGGGGGATATAAAAGTCATCTCCCATGTCATTTATCCAAGTACCGTCATTTAGCTTAAAAACAAAAAGAAATCCAGAAAATTCTTCTCCCAAAGAGAGTTGTACTGAACTTCCAACTCTGTTGTCTCTTGACTGCAGAAGAAGATGGACAAGTAAATATATCATAAAACGAAAAGAATATCATGGAACTACAATATCACATTCTGGCTGACATAAACCAAATTTCCAAGTTTTCAAAGAAAGAGATGAAAAAAAGGGGAAAGGGAATAACCAAAATAAAACTTTAGAATAAAAGGCTGCATGAATATCATGTATCCAATCTTTTCAATCATAATCCAGATATATTCACCATCGCATGTAAACTTACATCAGTATCTAGTAGAAGAACTACAGTTTAATACAAGAGCGTGGAGGAGGGTAAAATGCACTGGGTTCTGGAATTATTTAAATATTAAACTTTGAACATTAAGAGGATTAAATAGTTAAAACAATAACTTACTAGTTAAGACAACTTAAAGAAAAATAGAACATAGGTTGACTATCCGAAAACATCCAACATAACTAAAGGTAGGACACGAACACAAGATTAATTTTGTTAGTCAAATAAGAACAGCATACAGTCTTAATATTGTTACTCCAATAAGAACAGATCACATTATGTAATTTATTTACTAAAATTTTAAAAATGATGGGAAAATCAAGTTTAGAATCCTGTTGAATTATTTGAGTATAGAAACATTTTCCTTGAATATGTCAAAAAGTAGGGATGGTGGCAAAGCGAGTTAGGTCCAGACGAGCCGCTATCTCAAAATAGCGAGGACAATAGTTTTAGTCTTGTCAGCCCGCTTTGGCTTGTCAACCTGACGGGTGGGTAAGCTTGCTCGCTTTAAAAATATTTATATTTTAAAATTAAAATAAAAAAAGATTATAATTAAAAATATTATATTTTTTTGTCATATTTTTTAAATATGTAAATATACTATAATATTATAATTTAAGTTATAAAAATTAATAAATTATGTTTAAATTATTGATTATAATTAATTATTTTAACACATAAAATATAGTAATTTTTTCAATTTATCTAATAAAAATATTAATTAATAAATAAAAATTTAAAAATTATTTATATAATTTAAAGGTATATTTTAAAAAAAAATACATATAAAAAAAATTTATATAAACAAAATTATTGATGAATTAATCCATTGACATTTGGCCGGGTGGGCTGGGATCTATAACCCGTCTTGACTATATTGGACCAACCCTACCTACTCCATTTTTGGCAAGCTAAAGAGGAGACTAACCAAAACGGGACAGACTCGTTTTGCCATCCCTATCAAAAAGATAACAGCATCAACAAAGGAGCAATTGTATTGAAATGTATTTTATAACTAAATAAGAGCTAAATTATAATTAATAAAAAACAACTTGTCAGAAGTCTACCTGAAATTTAGTTCTTAAAGCTCTGTCCTTAAATGCTATTGTTTGTGGTGGATGAGGAGTTGGTGGAATTTCCCACCATCTCAAATCATCCCTACAAACCCCCCAATGAAGGAGAATATCGCCGGGTATATCTGTTTCTAAATATAAATTATTATTAGCGGTTTCAGAGCACTTCCTAATGGAGACATTGATAGAGTTATCAACAATAACTTCCTTGGTAATAGGCAGTTCTACGTAGAAACCTTCTAGTTGACTATTTTCCACTTTTGTATTTCTGGATCCACTGTTGCCATCTTGAGCTTTGTCATGTGTTGTATCTGACTTGAGAAGAATGTTAGATATCTGCCCCAAGGCCCCTAGGAGAGGAAAGACCATGAAATGTGTCTCAGTTCAAGCTTGCCAAAATAATGATTTGAGGACACAGCTAAAACAATTAAAATGAAAAGAAAAAGACCATCCCTAACACATTATAAGCTCAAATTATGATCATTTCAAAATTAAGTAGGTAACTGGCTCATTATTGCTAATTTTGTAGCAGAAATATTAAATGATGCCATCAAGTTTCATTCTTCAGACAAAAATATTCTTATTCTTCCCTATACTAATGTGGAATACAAAATTGAAATACATATCAAATGGGAAACATTTTCTATTTTCATTGTTGTACTATTTTTTATGGCTGTTCACTGTTGTTCACTATATATAACCGCCTTAAAGAAAAAATTCCCCATTTCTAAAAGTTGAAGGTAACATCACACAAATAGGAACCAGTTGGAACTATGGGCGATAATTTATTATAGAATTATGATTTATTTGACACCCTTTAAAAGCCATGAACTAGTACCAATTTCAGGAGACAATAAAATAAACTTAAGAAGCAGAAAAAATCACAATATATACTATTTCAAAATACCTGGCCACAAACTAAAACCTTTCTTAGGTCCAATTATGTTAGCATCCTCCTTAAGGTAATTGACCAGAGGAACCTTGAAATCTCTTCCTTTGTGTTGATACCATGCACCAGTTTCTTCATCCTGCAATGTATCAAAAAAGAGCACCAAAATGTGAAGAAAGAATAAGTACTGAAAGGGAGGAGGGTAGCTTTATTAAAAGGTTATTTAGGTCAACCACATATTCAACATTAAGAACTAGCATCTCCAACTGCTAGCTGTAAGAAATACAAACCTTGAGAACAAAATTAATCGCTGAAACATCATTGTTGGGTTTAAGATCGATCTTGGCCTCATGTAAAGCATCTCCTTCAGCAGATGAAAATGATTTCTGCATAGGTGTCTCTATTGCATAGTCCTGAAATTTTCACTTCAAATTCAAACTTTCTGCATTGCAATAATAAACATGGACCATATGAGAGGTCATGAAGCCCTGGTCTACCTTAATAGGAATAGATCCAGGCGGTATCATATCCCGAGGAGGTTGATCCCATTCACTGCAGAATTAAGCTTAAACCATGATCATATATCTTCATTGAATCACTAGCATTAAGATTTAGCTCTTACATGATGCAAAATACAAAGCACAATCACCCCATATCTCAATAAAAATGAAAGCTAATTCAAACACCTTATTTGACATGCTGTACCTTCCAACATCATCCACACGGGAAACTCCCCAATGAAGAATCCATTTCCCTGATAGATTGCAACCCACTGTAAGCTCCCAATATCCCGAATCCTTCCCATGATCCAATCTTACGAAGATCTTTCCCTCCACCTGCAGATTCCATTACAATCAATCAACACAAAAATCTCATCAATGCCAAACACCACTCTACGTCTATTAAATGACAAATCAAAAAGGAAAAGGCCTTTTAAGTAAGTCCTGGCAATTCCCTTTTCCTTGTAAATACAAGTATGCAACTATTTGATACTTTTACAGTATTATCATTCTGTTTGATTGCTCAGAAAACAAGGGAAAACAAAACAAAACGTGACAATCCAAAAAAAGAATATATCAACAACAATCAGGCTGATCCAAACTTCTCCCCTTGGAACAAAAAATGGTACCAAACAAAACTCTAACAGCCTTCTGGGTATTCCCCAAACTCTCTCTACAAACCAAACACCACTCCAAAATTAAGAGAGATGAAAAAAGAGAGACCAGTTCAGTTCGGTTGATGGGGAAAGTCTTATCGAACAAGACATCAGAAGACTGAAGGGGCTCAAGGGTATCAGTCTTTGTGGCAAAAACCTCAAACTTTGGAGTGTGGAACTTGTGGGGTTTGCAAGAGGCAAAGCTATTGCTACAGTTGTTGTTGTTGTTGGAATTGAAGAAAGTGAGGGTGGAGGAGTAACTCAGAGAGAATGGCTTTGGCTTGGAACTGTGAACGAAAGGTTCCCTTTCTCTGTTGAGATAGTGATTGAAGCTGAAGAGAGGCTCAAAGGAAAGGGTGGTGGAGATGCTCATGGTAGGGTGGTTCCTTTTGCAAGGAAATGGGAATGAAGAAGAAGTTGCAGAAAGTGATGAATTAAGCAACTTTGTGTGTATTTGTTGGATTGCACCAACTTGGAGTTGTGGACAGAAATGTTTTTTCAAATTAAAGAATTATTTGTTAAAAGAATATCACGTGTTCTTTCAATAATTTTACCTCTTGGGATGGATGAGCTTGATTTCTTTTCTTCTTTTCTGAGCAAAGGAAACAACAACATCACCAGACCACCGAACACCTCCATCACCTCAAACAACATTATTTCAATTAATTGGAATTATTTTCAATAGTTTTTGTTATTTACAGTGTTTTTCTATATAATTGGATGGAAGAGTTTTAACGGCTATACATTGTTATATAGATAGTTAACTAATTAAAAATCATGTTTAATCAATTTTAAATAATTATTTTAAAAATTAATGAAGTTATTGTAAAACTATTATTATTTTCTCTACAAAGAATATAATTTTCCAAAAAACATCAGAAAAGAGTTATGCATTAAATATAAAATAGATTTATAGTGAAATACTTAAAATGCATGAAGGAAGAGGAGGGAGAAATTTTAAATAACAGTAACAATTTTTCAATATCATTATGCGTGAAAAAATAATTTAAGAAATTAACTATCGTCAGATGGGTAAGATGCATAATTATAAAAAAAATATTAAATATAAAAAAAATTATTTTATGAAAAATAATTATTTTATTTTTATTTTCTTAAAAAAATTATTTATATTATTTCTCTTTTTTTATTTTCATTTCTTTTTCTCTTTTACCTTCTCTTTACTTTCTTATTTTTATCTTTTTTTATTACTCTTTCGTTTACATATTTTCTCGTTCACAATTTTATCTTATAGCATAAAAATTTATAATTTTTTTTCTTTAATTTTTATTATTTTTCTTGAAATAAATATATTTTTTGTTTTTATTTATTATAATAACATATATTGTTTATTATCAATAATTAATTATTTTAATATTTTATAATATCTAGTTATAATATTAAAATATGAAAAAATAAAAGTGTTTTTAAGAAATAAAAATATATATAATAAAATAAATTTTAATTTATTATTTTTAATAATAAGTAATTTATAATATAAACTAATAATTAACTATATTCATGAAATCGCGTCGAATAAAATTAAAAATATATTTAATTTTATATATTTATTTTATATGAATATTAAATATTCGATTCATAATTTTATAATAATATATATTATAATTAATTTTAATATATATATATATATATATATATATTATTAAACTTCATTGTAAAAAAATTATGGCTGTAATATTATATATGTCTTAATCGTTGTTGTGATAAATTGTTAACAACATTGAATTATAACCTATTGGAAAAACTAAATTCATCAAACTGAATCCATTAAAAAGATAAAAGATTAAAATTTAGTCTATTAAGAATCAATCTGAAAGATAGTGGAGTCTTGAGTGACAATAGGTAACCGGAGTTATAATAAAATGTTAGTTAAACAACTTTTGAAATCATTATTAAATATTTATTTAACATTTAGATAGTAAATAATTCTTTGGTCGCTAAATGATAAAATACATCAAATTAATATTTCTAAATACAGTAATTATAACCATAATCTTAAATTTAAGATTTAAATTTTATAAAAAAGAATTATGATATATATGGGTTAGGGTAAATGATAACTCAATCTAATATAAGTAAATGGTATCAAGTTTTATTTATGATTAGGTGAAATTCAATCCTTACACACAACAATTTTGTATTGGACTAAGCTATGAGTTTTGTCAAATTTCACTCAACCAGAACCATGTACATGTTTATATAAAATGATAAACATTTTATATTTAAGACATGTGTATAAACTATAATCTTAAAATAAAAATAAAAATATTTAATTATATAATTAAGTTAATTTTATTAATATTTGATATTTTATATATTAAGATATTTCTTTTTATAATATTTTTTTATTGAGAGAAAAAATATAATCTATATTTATATTTTATTTTCTTTCCTCAATCTTTCTTAATCACTTAAAATATAAAATAATAAAAAAATTATTTTTTTATACTCCCTTAATTATCTCTTATCTTTATTTTTAAAATTTTATCTCAGGTTTATTTATTTTCAATCATTCATAGTTTTAAAAATAAATATTTATTTTAAAATTAATACTTTAATAAATTAAAATATAAAATATTATAAATATATACATATATGCAAGTTTATGATTATATATATATATATATATATATATATATATATATATATATTGTAATTTAAAGTATAATAATATATTAATATCTGGGGTGCTCTTCTCCGACATCTAGAGAGTCTGTAAGCATGACAAGACATACTCTCTCTTTCTACCTTGTTTGGGCAAAATAAATAAACCTTATATGTGTTTTTAAATGAATAAAATAACCAGCGAGAATCTTATTTCTCACACACTCTCTCTGTATGGGTTATATTATTCAAGATCCAGAAATTAAGATGACAAAGGGTATTGAATGAAATGAAATATTCAAATGACACTTTAGAAGCATCTTGTCTGCAAAGTAAAAATGTCAATTTTTAAGACCAACTGGCATAGATAGCTCAGTTGATAGATAAAGGTCCATATCTTGAACAACTACAATAGGCTCAGTTATTTATGCCAAAAATGGCTCATTATAATATATATAATTGTAATTTTAGGCAAGCTAAAACTAAAATATGTTCTTCACAGTTTGTGGATAGCAAAAAAGTCATCATTGGAAAATTTACTGTCATGTACAAGTTTATTTTATTGAACTTTAAATAAAAATATGCATACCAATAAATATTATTTTTATAAGGTATAAGGTGTGAAATATTTAGTAACTTTATTAACAATATACTTACTGAAAAATCTGCCTAACGATTAAGACTTTGTTCACAACAAAATCGCTTCTCCGGTTTTCTTTTTTTAAATTAGCAAAATTTGAACTAAAATTACTTTTCTTACATGTATTGTTTGGTTAGCTTCTAATTACTGATTAAATTTGAATTTTTCTTATAAATTTAAGTATTGTACTGTGGAATTATTGTCTCCAGGGATAAATATGGTGTCTTGTCATCAGTTGTCAGTAATATTTGAAAAATAATGGTTTGAATACAAAAAGTCAAACCTTCATGAAGAATACTTGTGCAAAGTTATTAATCTGGTGTTATTTTCATTTAAATAATCTTCAAATTGAGGACTACAATTATTGTTTCAATACATACACGTAAAGTAACTGATAATAATAATTGCTTGTTTGAGTCACTCAACAAAACATTCTATTTTTGCTGCTGGTTGATTATCAATTGACACAAACAAATTTAAAAGAGATAAGTATAAAAAAATGGTCTTTTCTTTTAATATATGGTTGAAATTTTGTGAGAAAAAAGAGAACAAATGGTATCTAGAAATGCATGGCTACGAAATCCATTTATAATTACAAAATAATTTATTTAGGTTTTAAGAATTTATAATACTTTGTTTTAATACGTGAGTGATAAGTTCATTCTATCTATTCTTTAACATAGATTATATTTTAGATTAAATTTTAACAATTTAGAAAATTTAAAAATATGCAATATCAATAACTACATGCATTGTCAATCATAATTATATTTGATACTACGACAAACTTTTAATGGAGATTATTTTTTACATACTTCTTGATATCTTCATCTAAAAAAGAATCAAGATAATACTTTTTTATCATGATCTAAAGTGTTCAATTTCTAAAATTCAAATAGAAATGTAGATGTGATTTCCTATTTTACAAACAATTCAAATTGAGTTTTGATTAAAGATATAAAAATAACCTAATGTGCATATAAGTTATCAATAAAAAAAATACCATTCTTATCATCAGCATTTATTCCAATATATCTTTTAAATATAATCATGATATTCGTTCATTAAATTTAAATATATGTTAATTTTAATATATATATATATATATAAAGATTGTCTAATAATAATAATAAGAATAATAAAAATTATAACATATTTAATAATTTGAATTAATAACAATAATGTATTTATCTATAGTTATATATAAAAAATATTTTGATATTCATTTTTTTTATTAGTGAAAAAATATAATTTATATCTACATTATATTTTATTTAGTCTATTTTAATTATAAGTATTCTTTAATATTTATTTATTTAAATAAAAAATTTTATATATATATATATATATTATTCTTTTCATTATATTTAGTTTTTTTATTTCATTTATTTATATTTTAATTATATATATATAATTAAAGTATAAATAAACGGAATAAGAGAAACTGTATTCAACATGAAAGGAATAATATCTATATATATAATATAAATAAACGGAATAAGAAAAATTGAATACAACATATAATGTAGGGAATAATATATATATATATATATATATATATATATATATAATGAATTAAAATAAACAAATGATTAGAATGTTCATTCACTAGGAAATATTAAAAAAATGAAGCCTTCAATAATTGGAAAGTCTAATGCTAATGGACTGTAGTGATTTACACCGCCCTGGTTTATGCATGAGAAATTCGTGCCTTTTGGAATTCTTTTCAGATAAGATTTTATCACTATACGTATCTAACCTCCGACGTGTTTTTTGTGTGTTATTTTTCATGTTGTCAATATTCACTTGTAAAAAAATATAATACATAAATATTAAGAATAAATTAATTAACCATTGTTTCCACTTAGCTGTACAATTCCACTTTATTTAATACATAAAAAAGGTATGTGACTTGACATTATTATTCAAAATTATTAATGTAATCAATTATGTTTAAATATTTTATTTTATTTTATTTTAATACCATTGAAAATTTTATTTTTACTCTAAAAAACTAAAACTTGTGAAATAAAAGAGAAGAAGAATCATTTTGTATCTCAATGAAGATGACATGATCTATAAACATAACTAAATGAACAGAGTATTATAATTAAGTTACAAGGACACAACTTAACAAAATTCCTGTTTTTGAAATATTAAAACCACATTAAATTATATTAATGCTGATTTTTTTTTCATAGAAAAACTGTGAAATAAAAAGAGACTATATTGCATAGTAAATGACATTTAAAATAATTATATAAAAAAAAACTCATTAGTATTCATGACAAATATCAACCTTCTTTGTTCTCTGAGAGAATTTTGATAATATTCAAGTTTTTAAAACCAAGTT